GAAACGTACAATCACCTCTGACCAGAGCAACAAGGACACAGTTTTAGGTTTATTGGCAGAGATTTAGGGGGGAATACAGGAGAAGACTTCCAGTCACTGTAGCAAACCAAACCCTAAGACACTGTTCTTTTAATGGAAAGAAAAGAACAACTTTGATGGACGTCATGCCCTCTTAATGAAAATATATTCACAGCACTCAACCTACAAGGTCAGTGCTCTTTACTTCAGCTTTTATAATAATTCATTTGATGTAATGAGCTTTGCTGCACCATGCAGAAAACTTTCTAAAAAGCGTAAAGTCAAATATTAGTTTGGCCATGTTTTTTTTTTTTGCTATTCCGCATTTTACATAAAGTGACAAAAAGGACACAGCACTGTGGAGTCCTATTGATTGAACCAGGGTCAAGTTACCTTGCTGAGAGTTTGCACACAAGCAGTGGAGGCTGCCGTGACAATCAGCTCATACAACAGTGACAACACAACTTTAATGAGAGAGGAGAAGAGTGGAGAGATAAGGTCAGTGGAACACAAAAGAAAGGAGCAGAAAAAGGAGACAATTTTGAGAGAAACATCTTTTGTTTCTTTCATTTGCTTCTTGTAATTTCCATTTTGTTGGCAGCTATTGTGTCATGGTTATTGTTGCTTTCTGAGATATGGTTTCTAAAGCCTCTCCAGGCTGAAGACTGGGGGAATGATAAGTGATAAGAGTGAAGAGCGGTAATTTCACATTTAACAGAAATTATCAGCCATAGAAGAACTCATATTTGCAGAAGGAGTGGGGAGGGGATAGCTCTAAACCAGATAGGACTCTCAATAGACTGTTGTTTTTTAATGTAGAGAGGAAGCTATATTAGAGGACTCTGCAGTCCGATAGCTGTTTTTCTTCCCAGCCCTCCTCCTTCATGAGGAAATGGTTTCCAAGACTGACACTCATCTGATTTGAGTCACATTGTTTGTCACGGGCATCAAGTGATAGATATAAGAATCCATATAAAAAACCATTAGTTTTCTATTACTGCCAAGCTGGATGGACAGGCACTCAGCGCTCAGCCGAATAACTGTGTTTAAAGTGTCAGGTTGGTTGAAAGAAGTCTACCTCAGTGGGGGCTCCCCTGCCACTTCCCTGGGGGCTGAGTGGCTGAAATGACCATAAAACTCTGTTGAGCTAGACAGCCTGTAATTTCAGCAGCGAGTGGCGCTTTGCTGAGGTATAATGGAAAGCCGTGGAAGCCATGAAATTTGCAGCATCCCGGTGTTGGAACACCATTGTCTGAACACTCAGGACACCTCTCTAAACTTTAAATTACTGTTTTTAAGCCGTCATTGTCTGAAAGAGCTCTGCATCTCAAAGAAACACACTGCTTGTACTCTTTCTTTAATCTTTAGGGCTCTTTGCCTTCCCTACAGAAATCTGACATCCACAGTCTTTGTTAGCAAAAGAACCTTTGCTCATGAAAATAGAAAAATGAAAAATGCGGGTCCACAGGTTGCTCTATACCGGCAGAATAGAGTTGTTCTCTCTCCCCACTGTTTGTTGTGTCTTTTTTTATCACGCGTGCTGTGATTGTGGGTACAAGTGGCTTCTTTGAAGAGGGAACAGGAATGGATGAGAGAAGGCTTTGAGTGAGGAGGACAGGTGCAGAAAGGGATGGATTTGTGTACGTGTGGTTATTTCTTCTGCGATGTAACTTTTTGTAATGTGTATCGTCATTTCTGATTTTGTGTGTGTGCGTGTGTGTGTGTGCGTGCGTGTGCGTGTGTATGTGGGTGCGTGTTTGTGTGTGTCAGTGTGTGTGTGTGTGTGCATCCACATGAGTCTTTCCATGTGCAGAAATTGCTAGAGCACCCATACATCCAGTTTTCTGAAGCGTGGCTGTTGATGTGATGTTAGCAGCATGTCACATCAAGAGGCTCTCCGGGTGATTTGATAGGAGGGCGGATGGAGATAGAGTAATGAAGTGAGTCTGAGTAGGGTTAGCTGCTGGAGGCCTGAGCCCATCACACAACACTGACTGCATCTATGCTGTGGTGAAAGACACGCACGCACGCACGCACGCGCGCGCACACACAAACACACACACACACACATAGGCAGGCAGGCAGACAGAGGGATTGTAACCTCATCACCCCATATTCCCCCTTCAGCCAAATCTGCTTGTCTGCGCCCTTCTTATTCTCAGAGTTGAGATGGAGCATAACTGTAAGCACAACTCACTGCAACAAAATAAGACTCTGTTTCTTGCACATTATGTTATGGTTGCCTGAACCCCTCACTCAAGTATCCCTCCCGCTGAAAGCAACATATTCACTATTTGCAGATAAGCATGCAGGTTGAGCCTCTGTTTCATTACAATGCATCTCATCGAATCCAATTACTCCAGAATGTCATGAAAAAGGCCCAAAATGATGAATAAGTGATCAAGTGTCACCACTGTAGAATGTATGATAAGTGATATAGCTGCCATGCATATTTAAAGAAGAGGCAGTATGTAAATGTGTGTGACATTAATATTCTACCTGTTTAGGCTGCTGTTGCATGCAGCGGTGTGCAGCATCAGCACTTTGTTGTTTTTTAAACATGAATCTCTTCATCAGTGCATCAATGCTGTAGATGCATTTGTCAGAGTTTCTCATTAACTATAATATAATTCAGCAGGTATATAAATTAGCAATGAGTTAATGAATCCCTTCCATGTTTAATTCTAAGTGATATGTGAATCTGAAATGACAGAATGAAATTGTTAATTGAAACTGTTATTTGGTTGAAAAAAGGAGCAACTGTGATTATAATTGCATCATTGTATCACATTTGGTCACATTTCCTTAAACTTGTTTTCAGGGTTTACAGCAAAAGAATGAGCATAAACTGAGCCGACAACACAAGTATGGCAATTTAATAACCTGGATAGCAAATACTGCTATACTGACCTTTGTGTAGCTACAGTATGTTGTTACACTTGCATCCATACCTAGTGCTGGACTGGGAAGAAATCTGGTCCTGGCATTTTTGGCTCATACTAGCCCCTTACAACTGGTCGTACACGACATGACATTAGTCTACCTAACCATTACCAAGCTGAGAAGTTAGTGCCAAAGACACATATAGCAATGTGTTTTCACTTTGTTTTCACTGACTCCCTTGTGGTCAGAGGTGACTTTGGAGAACACAAGATTAGTGTTCTCCAAAGTAGAAGTTCATACAAAGTAAGCAATTACAAAAAAAAAATTCAAATGACATGTATTTGTTAATAAATTCACTTTTCAATGGGCTACAGTAAATTTACTGCAATAATGGAGGTAATTAAAATGTTACATTTAAAGATATCAGAAATAGCAAGTCCTATTTTTAGATTTGATGGTATTTATATTTGTACCGCAGTGCGTCTCAGAGGTACTGTACTTTTTAGGATTAGCTCATTTATTTTAATTCAGGAACACATGCAAACCCTTAAATATCTAGAGCCAAAATATGCATTACACATATTGCAGCTTTGATATAAGCATAGTAAAATATACTCACAGAAAACATGTCAAACAACTTTTGCAACCATCCCGTTGCATGTGTTGTAGAAAGAAGAGCAACAGATTTAACCTCAAACAGCTTTTTCATACATGAAGAGAACCTTCAGCCTAATAATGTTTGTTATATTATGATAGAACTTACTCACTGCTGGTTAGATGACTGTTAGCTTGCTCACACGGTTGTTGCTATGGCCTCACTCCTTTCTTATTCACATGTCGCCTATACCTCTATTTTCCTGTCACACACCTGCTGCTCCTGTTTTCTCTCTGGCAATGCCACACACCTCTCTTACTCCTCCACTTAGTTTGAATCAAAGCTAAGAACACAGACTAAAAACAGCCAACCTGAGACTGACCCACTGTGAAAAAGAAAATCTGTGTTTTTAGCACACACACATTTACACATCATATGCGGGAGCAAGGCAAGTTGTTTCCAGTCTTCATGTTAAGCTAAGCTAAGTTAACCATGGCCTGCATCCAGGCATCAATCTTTCTGTAACCTTTTCAGGATAATGAAAAAGTGTATTTTGACAACCTTTTAGCAAATTCCTTACTGTGACAGTGATTAACAGTGGAGGCTATCCAAGCAGTTAACTGTTGTTTATCAGGCATTAAATGGCCCAAGTATTAGCAACCAACTACAGACCAGCCAAAAACAGATCCAGTTAACCGCCTTAACTAGAACTGTCTCTATGTTTGTGTTTGTAAGTGTGTGTGTGTGTGTGTTTTTGTGTTTGTGTGTGGGACTAAGCACTAAACAGCCTGAGGGACATAACAGTACCTTTGAACTTAAGGCTGCAAAAAAGTGGTCACACTAGGTCAGAGTAAATGAGTCATGGCTGGCAATGAAAGAGAGAGAGAGAGAGGGAGAGAGAGAGAAATATGCAGTGGATTGTGATTCACTTAGTGGGCAGTTGTGATGTGAACAGTACAGACAGAGCAACTTTGCACACGCTACTCCCAATAAACCTACTTAAGTGGATTAGCAATGCCACCCTGGGGCCCTCCACTGACTTAAAGCGCTTATCACAAACACACACCGAAACCAAACCTACTATTTTTATAAGTTCTCCTTGGTTTGTGGGGAAAGCGACTTTGGGAGACAAAATAGATGTCCAGTTTAAATGTGGAATTAACAGCCAAAAGAGTCATATCATATCTTTCTCATCCTAACACAATGCACGGCCGCTGGCTCCCTGTTGCATGCTGTAAATGTAGTAAATAGCTTGTTGGCTCAAAGGGGCTAGTGAGACCAGCTTGCTATTCCTGCCACCTGTTGTAATGGCCGGGGAACAGATGTTGAATATACTTTCCCAGTTTGATGTTGGTCACAATTGGCAGCTTCTGTAGGGGAGCAATGGTGTCAAAAATTAGGCCATGTGCTTTGAATTTGTGAATGTGTATATACGGTCATCTGGCATATGCCTGTGACTAACTCTCTCCCTCTTTTTGTACTGTGCTTCATGTTTGCTGTGCAGGTCGAGGCTGGCTGACTACATGGTTAACTGCTGGATGACTCCACACACAGTGAGCACCTGTCCCAACCAAGACAATCACCAGGCCTGCCTGGCCTCCTACGCAAGGCTCATAGGTCAGTACAGCACAGGGCTGGTGTAGTTGAGAGAAAAAGGTCTGCATTTAGCTCCAAATTCCACAAAAATGTTCTCATTTTCCAGCTTCATGGTGAGATAAAGACTGATAGTTATAGACAGTGTAAAGTCAGCCTACTCTACCGTACAATTTATCAGTTGGAGCTGGCAGAGGAGTGAGACTTTTTCTCTCCTGGCCTCAAATCTCCCTGAGCACACTGGACATCAGTTCACTACTAGAAGTAATTAGGGAGTTGTGAGCAGGGTCGCTTACTTAATTAAAACACCTGATGGCCATCTGTTTGCTCATAGTAAATGTTGTTTAAACAAGTTGTTTGAACTAGCAGTGGAATATTTTTAAATCCAAGAGCTTCACAGAATGTCAACTGAAATGCAAATTTTCACGAAATAACCTTTTTTTTCCGAGTATAGTGGTTACTGAAGTGTCCATATTTCAGTATCAGTCACTGCTTCCTCACTGTGTGTCATAAATCGAGCAGTATGAAGTGATAATATGCCACAGTGCTTCCGGGATTTCTCTGGAAAATGCTGCACAAAGTGCATCTAACGCCTCTGACTCCAGCTGAAAGCATTGCCACACAGAGACATTTGAAAAGTAAAATGTTTTTGTAGAGCAGTGCTATATTCACACAGCACACACACTTCATAAAGCACCTACTTTGCAAAATATTCATAACATAATGGCCTCTTTACATCTAAAATAAAGCATTACAGAACGCTTCACCTTGCCATAAACTCAAATAGTGCAAACCCATTCCCATGACTAACATCTTGTTGTCCGTTTGATATACTATTCTATAAATGTGGTCCATTATTGTCCATTAGTGACCCATAACTGTTTGTCCTGATGTGTGTATGCTTATGCTTATGCTTGTGCTTGTGCTTGTGCCTGTGTTCGTGTATGCCCTCACAGGAACAGAAATGACTCCTAACTACGTGGACAGCAGCTTCTCTAACTGGACCATCTCCCCGTGGTGCACCTGTAAGGGCAGTGGAAACCAAGAGGAGGAGTGTTTGAACTTCCTGCACCTCTTCACCGACAACACTTGCCTAAGTGAGCAATCCTGACACGCAAGGACACGCTGCATGCTTCCGTAACAGATAGGGCTCCAACAGTCATGTAATATTAATAAGGGCTCAGGCGTGTGATGTGGTAGTTACTCTTACTACTGCCATGTAAGAGCAGAGTGAGCCATGAACTTCGACTGAATGCAACTTTAATGATTTCGTGTCAGTTTCTGTTTTCCAATGTCCTAGAGCTCCCCAGTGAGATGACTATGTATGTGTTGTTGTTGAGAAGAGGATGATAGTGGTCAACAAGGCTGAAAGATTTTTTTTCGGGGAATGGACTTCAGAAATAAGGCCAGAAGAATAAGGTGAAAATATAGAATAATGGATGGATGTATAACAAATGAATACATGCATAAACATTCATAATGTCCAAATGAAAACTTGGCTGCTACATAGTTTGATACAACTTATCCATGTACACTCTTTTGCCTGCTGATTTAGTCTGAATTAAATTGTCTTAGTTTCTCAGAAACTAGTCATTTCTTATCACTTCTCATCCCTCCTTTGGGCGAGATCTGCCCAGACTTTAATACAAAAGAAACCATTTGCATGTCATTTCCACATTCAATCTGAAAAAGTTAAAGGGCTTATCCCTTGTGGGAGAAAAATGTCATGAAGGAACAGATCTAACCCAAATGAAATAATAAGAGAAGCCATAATACACATCATCTACACATCTCATGCATAACACACAAGGTGCAGCATGACAGAGTGGTTACCTCAAACATCCTCTGGATTTTTTCCACTGAAGAGTAAAATACAGCGAGAGCCTTCCTTGCTGTGGCAGAGCGAGCAGTGTCATCAGTGCTACAAGACACCATTGCCTTTAACATGTTCCATTGTGTGCGTAATGCTTTCAGACCATTTCAATAGATTGCTGGGGTACCATTTTAGCTGAGTGTGCAGGATGAGGGATGAAGCTGGGAGCTGAGGAGGCGTCTTGAAAAATAACGCAAAATGCAGCATCTCCACTCTGCAGTCAAAGGGAACAAGCGATAAACTTCCTCACACTAAAGCAAAGGATATACACAAATACACACCCACCACACAGAACAATGCAAACATATATTTTTCAACAAATTATCTTACAGCTCCCATATGACCCCCATAAATCCCCCAATCTCACCCTTATCGTTCTCTTTTTATTGTTTTTGTTTCCGCAAAGTAAATGTTTTTTTTTTCATTTATTGACAAACCACAACTGTTTATTTTCAACTGAAAACTAGTCAAACATCTATTACCCAAACTCTACTAACAAGAACGAAGAGAAGAATCTTTTCAAAACCCTGATCCCTTTTCTCCCTCTGCTCCTCTTGTTCTCTCCTCCTGTATCTCTACTCCATCTGTCCCTGCAGGTAAGCTATGACTAGGGGTTATAGGAAAACGTATCCAGAGTCATTAAAAAATTGAATTGCTATTGGCAATGAGCTTAATCACTCAGTGGAACATTTGGGCGCAGTAAAACATCCAGCGTGGAGGCCTTCAAGCCAACTGCTTTGATTTATGACTATTCCCCGATCTTACAGCATCTGCTGGGGCAGAGCTAGCGATAGCCGACCCCGACAAACAGATGCGTAACATTACATGTCTCAGCAGTACTTCAGTAGCTCTTCACTGCTAACATTAGAGTTGTTAGGCTTCACTGGAGAGCTCTTTTCTTCTCTGTGCTTTTATTTTTCCAGCAGCAGCCCAAATTACCGGTGTTTAAGAGCATGAGGAACATGAAGGCTGCTTTTGTACGTGTAAAGTGTGCAGGTGTATGTGTGCCTGCTGTACAGTATGTGTACTTTGCGTGGGTGTGTGCAGCACTGTTTAGGTCGACTGAGGATGTGACAGACAAATCTATGGGGCCATGCATCAGAAGGGCTAAAGACCATGTATGTGTGTCCGTACAATTATGCATGTGTGCACCACATGTGTCCAATTTATCTTTTGTGTGGTTGGGGGGGGGGGGGGGATGCTATTTATCTTTTCTTTGAGAATGTTTTGAATTTGATCAGTCACACAAATCTATTCAAAGTCATCCCTGCATTGTGACCTTATAATGGAGGTGGTTGCCAAGCAATTACATGCCTTGCCTTCTCTCTGGCTGAACAAAGAGAAACAAGCCCAGTGTTTTAAATGGATGAGTGGTGAAAAGGTACTCAGCCCCGATTTTACCATATCTGGCTGGAAAGCTGACTGAACAAGGATTTATCACATTTTTGCAGACTCGTGCATGCACTCAGACACAGACATTACACACGTTTACTGGGAATGTGCAGGCGGCTACACAAGCATTCGCATGCATGCACAGACTGTCTTCTGTTAGAGCTGATTGATTTGCTTCTTTTGAAAGATTCCATTTCTTGAGTGTGGAACTGCCGGAAAACAACTTGGCGTTCATCAACTCGAGTGAAGACATTATGCCACTATTTGGTCAGCTCTGTGCAACTGGAGAGCATCTGTTGCATCTCAAAATAGTTTTTATAATGAGCTGAGGACATGAACCCAAGTTGTTTGTGTTTGATAAATGTGTTCATTTTGTCTCAGCTGGATTCCTTATTGGAAGATAATTACTGGACACAAAAAAACATGTCAGGCATTTAAAAGTAAGTCAGAGATGTTGTATTAAACATACGGCAGTTTTGGTGATTTTTGTAAAATCCACCCCGTGAAAGTCAAACCTCCGATTGCTGTCTTTGATTAATTTGACGAACAACTCTCAAGCTTACTGACGAAGCAAAGAGACTGGCTCTCTGTGCTCCTTTTACTTCTTCCTTCCTTCCCTCCGCCCTCCCTTTCTCCCTCGGTTGCCAAAGATTGGGCAGGGGACCAAGAAGTTGACTTAGAGCTGGCGTCTTGCTGGGATCGCAGTAAAAAACAAATGGCTTTATATTTCTGTCCCTGCAGGAAATGCCATCCAGGCCTTCGGTTATGGGATAGACAACATGCAGAACAAAAATGTGTCTGTCCTGGGGTCCTCAGTGGCGACGAAGACTGAGTCGGATTGGTCAGCAGGCACCTCAGAACCTCCCTTTGTCACCATCCCAAAGGTAATGAGTTTGCATTGATTGTTTCATTACCTTTGTTACCTTGTGTGCAAAATGAAATGCAGACTCATTATTTGCAGTCTGCTTGTTAATCAGGTTGGTTTAATGAATCATAGGTATTAATCCTGGAGTTTATTATATCATAGGTCACACCATTGTGTTACATGTATGCAGAAAGGCTTTTTCATGTTGATTCAGCCCAAATATATCCATAAATGTTCAGCAGGTTCCGGCAACTTCTTTGCATACATTATTTAAAATGGACCTATTACAAGAAGAGCGCACAAAACCACTTCCCCACTATGCTTCAGTGAAAGGAGGATTTTGTACAGAGGCGATATAACGAAGCCAAACACGTTGCACCATTCACAGTCACATCATATTCAATCTTTATGCTTGTTAAAGCAATTGGCACATCAGAACAGACGCTTTATGATAAGACAGTTTATGCTACACCCAAGATGATGACATTTGGTTGAAATATTATATTCCTCTCCCCTACAATGAAGTAGTGAAAGAAATGGGAGGTGGGGGTTTTAATCTGGATTAGAGGTTCTAAAATACTGGCCCAGGGCCTGTTCTCTGCTGAATGCAGTCTACTCTGAAGACTGCATTCAACTAGGCTCCAACCGAGTTCACTGTCTGAAACAGTAAAACATACAACTCTGCTATGCTGCAAAAATGCACGTGTTTTTTGTATTTTAAAAATAGGAATGTTTATTTTCTCCTCCAATGAAATGTGAAAATGACTAAAAGCAGTTAAACACTCCCCATCTCTCTGCCTCTTTTGAACATGTCTGAAATATTTCACTGCACTTTGGGCCAGAACGAGTGGGTTTTTTTTCTATTCTTTTTTTCATCTAGCTGTTGAGTTTGATTACTTTTCACTATGAAATATTGTTGTGCTTTAGATGTATTTTAGATGTGCACTGCAGCCTTCTGGTGTACGACTAATGATGTTTTTCACCTCTGAAGGAGACCTAGTTACCAAGCTTTGCTGTATTAAATTGTACTTTGTTAAAACCTTCTGCCCACCAATACTGCCTCTGTCGATGTTAGTATTTCTGTCATTTTTCTGTGACAGGTATATACAAAATCCAAGTAGCATGCAGTGTTTATGAATGCAAATTTGCATGCTGAATGAATGGCTTCCATTAAGATGTCTACTTTTGAGTAATTCCAGGGGCTTTCACGGCCATTTAATGGCCACACTGCAGCCGAAACATGCAGCATTGTCCTTTTATGCAGAACCCCTCATTGTTGTGATGACAGCAAATTAAAACCTTAAAAAATGTGGCAACAAGGAGAATTAATGGACAAGAAGCACTGATAACAATAACAGTGTGTATGTTTTGGAAAGGTGTGCGAGAGAGCGAGGGAATGGATCATGGGATCGCTTCTGTGTGTGGACGTCAGTATTAATGCACTGCTCTGCGCCTGTCTCGCTGCAGTGTGGTGTTTAATTTATTGTAAAAATGGTAATTAGGAAACAATAAGACGTGTGATTACTCAAGCAGGAAGTTTATAATTAGAGAGGGAGCTGGTAGGGACATTTTGGGTGGCCCTGCGTTCTCAGACAACTACGGCTGGCAATTAAAACTTGTCAAACTTCCATGGCAGATAAATTGGGGGAGTGTTGTTTTGGTATGAGTCCTCTTGGCAACAGATTGACTGGCCAAGCTGTAAATCTCATGATGGTCAGTTTGGGCCCTGCAGAATCACACCAACACGTGCATGCACATATGTTGACAGATTGTCTATGAAGGATGATGGGTGACCATGACCCCTTAGTATAATAACCTGATATGAAGAACAGTTAAAGAACAGTTGTGTCTTAACCAGCTCTCGTCAGTTAAACAGCTTTTGTGTACTGTATAGACATATTCAGCTCATTTAGATGCTTAATTATTCTAAATGTCATTGCCAGTGGTTGTGGGTTTTATTCCATACTCAGTGTGTAAACATGTGGGCTGAAGCTTAGTCCTCTGAGCCCTGTAATCAGACTGGTGGCCATCAGAAGTCAGGCTCTTTTTACATGGAGAATTTTCCTATAATAAAAATGTTCTATAGGAATTGATATAGAAAATTTAAATTCCAAAGTAGGGCTGCAGCAATCGATAAATTCATTAATCAAGTATTTTCAGAACTAAGTATTATAAGGATTATTCCAATGGTTAATTGAGGAATCACTTCAATTTTCTGTGTATTTATTGATATTCTAAACTGTTAATAGTGTGCAGTTCTAGTCTCCCCCATTAAACATATTTCAATTTCAATGAACCTCTGGTTAAACAAAGGTTTAAAAATTGATAATATGAATACAATGTTAAAAAAATATTCATTCTTAACTTCTAATGAATAAGCCTCAGTGTAAAACTTTAAGTTGCATCTATTCACTATATCTAAGGGTTGCTGACTCAGACAGCTGCAGTCAAGCTTTACCAAATATACTTGTAGTTTGATGTATTGGTTTGTTTTAGGCTCACAGTGTTGTGTGCTACTTTCCCAGTGTTGCTGTAGATCCCACAGAGAAGATGGATTTTTTGGGTCTGACAATAGTAATCCTGGTTTCCTTTTTAATTACCTCACTCAAAAGGTTCTTGTGCAGCGAATTCTTAAAGTTCAACAGTTTATTTTATAGCATATCGAGTTTCATTTCCATTGTTATATAAAACAAACACTGTGTGAGACCTCTTTCCTCAATCAGCATAATCATTGGGAAACTAGTGTTGCCTGTGTTCCCATGTAACACTGTTGTGTGTTGATTTTCAGCTCAATTGGATGCAATTGATTATGGACAGAAACTACGTAACTCAGGGTTAATCAATAACTATAGCCTTGGGAAAGTCATCCTACTGCACTGTAAATTTGACAATAACCTGATTGATAGTGAAAATATTTGACATGCTCTGTGTTCCGTCAGGCTACATGTGAGTGTGTGTCTGTCCCATGTCTCTATGTCTGTTTGAGTGTGTGTGTGTGTGTGTGTGTGTGTGTGTGTGTGTGTGTGTGTGTGTGTGTGTGTGTGAGAGAGAGTATGTGTACCTTCTCACAAGTCTGTATGTGTGGATATTGGCTGCAACCAGAGATCTGGACTCATGTCAACAGGCTGCTACCACACATCACTGCCCTTGCTAATTAATTGGCTTTTAGTTGCGGGTGTGTTTGGTGCATTGTCAAGCTACCCATTGCTTTCCCCCCCATTTTTTTGGCATCTGTCATTTAACCATTTCCTTGTACCATTTAGAGCATAAATGCTCACATCAAGGTACTGATATAACTGCAGCCATTTGGTTCCTTCCTTTCTCTACCACGCTCTTGTGTCCCTCCCTTTCCAAGAAAAAAATATTCCTCTCCTGATGCTGTAATTTACATCATTTTCTTGTTTCATTATATATTTTTATCTTTCTCGGTTATGTGTTTACTTGTTCTGTTGGAAGATGTGGTGCTGGTAGATAACATCTTAGTAGGTGTTTTTTTTTTCTGTGTACAGGGAAATGGACCAAAGTGCAATCTCTGCAAAGGTTAGATTGGTAAAGATGAGTTGAGGGGATGGTGGAGGGGGAGGTGGGAGAGGAGGAGGAGAGAGTGTTTCATGTTTCTTATGATGTTCTTATGTATTGCTGTGCAGGACTGAAAATGGTGCCTCTGCAAATTGAGCGAGACTACTTTAACTTGGAGGCAAATGGTTCTGCTTTGTGTTACAAGAATCAGAGGAAATTGAAAAAGTATTCAAAATGCTAACAATTTTATGAGAAAGCATATAATAAGGCCATTGTGGTTTGGATATGACAGAGGAAGTCTGGAGGCCAAAGAGTTTAATATCTGGACTGATGTGTTCCCACTGATGTATGCCGTATTGGGAACATTAAGGAAAACTGTGTGTATTTACTGTTGAATATCATACATACTGTACATATGATTCTTTCTGTTCTTCATAAGCATACACATTGTAATGTGTTTAAAAGCACAGTCAAACTTCCTACAAGAGGTCTTGGGAGTGTTTTGTTCTCCTTCACTTGCTTTAATTTATGCCTTATGAAATATTGAGAGAAAACCACAGCTGCTGCTGGCTTCTGTAGTGTGCATTTGGCTTGGTAGCATGTTTTTCTTGTAAATAAAGTCTGTAATGATAGCTTTAAAAACTGTTTAGAGACTTGCTGGCACAACCTTAAAGGGTTGCAGAAAAAAGAAAAAGTCATCACAAGAAGCTTTCCTTTGTTGCCAACTTGTTTAAGAAGCAGAGAGCATACAGAGCAGCAGGGGCTTGAATTATACTTCACATATCAAAACATTTGGTGGATCAAACACTTAATGTTAGTGCCAAAGTGTCTCTGCCATGGATACATGCAATTTTTTTCACTCTTACTCTGACTTTTTGACTCCTGATTTCTCTTGTTCTCCTCAAGCTCTGATCCTGTCTTGCCTCATCTCCCTCCCTCATCAAATGCCAGCAGAAGAAAGCAGCACGAGTGAATGAGTCATGTCTAACCTTTACACATCTCTCTCTCTCTCTCTCTCCCACTGTGTGTCCCTCTCTCTGTCCAGTATCCTGAACCGAGAGACGGTGGCCTGGGCGAGACCCGGGGCCTGCCAGAGGATCACTCCGCTTGTCTGTGTGCCAACGTTTGGGCTCTGCTTCTCGGCCTGACTTTGGCTCTGGTCCTGGCCCAGCATGCCTTATAGAAGCGCCAGGAGAAGAAAAAAAGAGGTCATCCACCCACAAGCCGATCCCAAAAGCAGAAGGTGTTATGTCTGAGACAGAAATTAAGAAGACTGACTCTCTGGGCAGTTGACATTAAAGGCATTTGCAAAAGAGAGAAAAAAATAAAACAAAGGAAAAGGAAAAAAGGTTGAAAAATACTTGTGAAATGTGAATTTGTTGTTCATTTTGTTTAAGTTAGGGCGGACCACAACTGTGATGAATCACAGCTTTGAAAAAGAACCCTTGCTTTGAGAGGCCATGAGGACCACATTTTGGACCACAACTTCACCTCTGATTGAGAACCAAAAATATGGAGGACTGAAGCTGTTCATGTCAGGGACTTCAGCACTTTTCTCACCGACGGAGGGAGAGAGAGAATGAACAACGTAATTAAATGACGACAGCGTTGACAGGATTGAAATTGTTGCAGAGAGAACAGGACTGAGGGAAAGGTAAATGTGGTAGAGAGAAAGTGAAAAGAGACATATTTCTGCTATCACTCACACTTTTTTTTGTCTTGAATATTTTCTCGACTCAATCTTCTCTTGGATGAATTTACCGCAAATGTAGGGGTCCGAGATGGGGGGGGGGGGGGGTGATGATTACGTTCTTTCTGTTCAACCCAAGTGTAAACTCTAAACTGTAAAGCCTACTCAGTGTTCTAAGTGTTGGTATAGTATCCGTGACCATAATCAATCTACCGTACAGCTATTTCATTTGGGTACTATAGTAAGCTCCTGTTAGCAGGTGGAGAAAAGAACTAAAGAAATTACAAGTTCATGGTTCTTTGGTCATTTGAGATGTTGTTGTTGACATCTGTGGATCAACGTCCACCTGCACATGTGTATATTTCTGTCTGTATGTACTGTATATAACTCTGTTTTCTTTCATTTAAACCAAAAGATATCATCAGTACCTTTAATGGACTTTACTGTACACTAAGATGGCTCTGTACTGGTACTAATGGAAGGCCTTCATTATCTGCGTTTATATTATTTGTCTATAAAGGTTTGATCACAAAGAATGTATACAGGGATGAGATTAAACAAGCTCAAACTGCTTGGAAAGCCATAACCTTTCTGTGTGTGTGTGTGTGTGTGTGTGTGTGTGTGTGTGTGTGTGTGTGTGTGTGTGTGTGTGTGTGTGTCAATCATACTGTTTCTGGTCAGTTATTACAATGTTAGTGAGTCTGTGTTTACATGCAGGATAAAAAGTAGCTAGTAAGGAGAATCTTTAATTGTGAGAGCGGGAGTTGCTTGTGTCCCCTTGGAGAGCACTGGTTATGATGCATAGTGTAATTAACTGCAAGGCTTTTACAGAGGGCTTGTTGTGACCCAGACTTTAAGCACTACTGTTCCTCTTTTCATTGAATACTTCAAAGGACCAAAATTTTAAGAGTGCACAAATGTTCTTCATTCACATATTAATATTACGATTTCTATTTTCCAGAAACTATATTGGACAAATATTAGTTAGTTAATTGGACTAACTTGTCCTGTAAGAAGTCAGATTTTGTCCAATGTTTGCAAAAAAGCTACCTTTAAGTAGGCCTAAGTATATTTATTAAATGGTTACTGGAAAATATACTTCATGCTATTTCCAGCGTCTCATGAAGCTGGCTTGGGATAAATACTGGAAAAAGAGGAGAACAGCTTGGAATGTCTCCATCTAAAAGTAACTTAAAATAACCTCCAAGCACCTGAAAATCTCACTAATGAACATCTAGTATCTAAAATATAATATAAACATTAAACATTGTGATTTCAGGAGGGGCAGAGTGCAGGCATAACTTTTGAGAGTGGTATTAATAATCCATCTACAACTCAGATTTGATGTTGGACTTTTAAAAATCTAAAGCCTAATATGAATATTGATGAATATATTTGCCCTAATCCTTCCTCTTGTCCACACTTACCATCTTGTTTTCTCTTTGTAAGAAATGAGGGGGAAACATTTCCTTTGTCAATTCCAAAATAAACAGGAACCTAAAGAGTACGAGTTAGTCCACTTAGTTATCTTTAAGACTTATTCCCTCTTCATGTAACTCTTCCCTCCTCTGCACCTGAGCTAGTAAAAGAAATCAAAACATAAAAACACAAAGAGGGAGTTTCATCTTATAAAGGGAAATGTTGAAGGTTACCAAACATATTTCTGCACAGAAATATGGACTGTAGATTTTGTCATCTATGTTTTTGTAATGCTTGAAGAATTCTCTTCATAGACAGCAACAGAAAACAAATAGAGCAAATATGAGAGTTTAAGATTCAAATTTTTGACTTATCTTTTAAAAAACCTTTCCCTCTGGCTGTGAATCATTTCACACAGGCGAATAGGTTGAAACATTCAAAGACAAAAGAGGAAAGCTTCCAGCAGGAAACGTTCTCTATTTTATCAATCTAAGACTGATTTCCACTTTTATACATACACACTTCAAATATGTTGCATATTTATTCTGCACTATATTATACCGGAAAGCAAGAGCAGAATGGAAACCTGGACATTATATTACTAAATCTATAAAACATAAACAATACTTTCCCCAAATTAATTGGTTTTCGTCTCAAACATATATCATCTAAAAAAGAGGAGGCATGTTTGAAAATGAAAGATGTAATTTGGTATGGTTATGCACACAGATTTTTTTCTCCCTAACAGTGAAATAGTGTTTCCACCTAAATGTTTATGTCTTCAGGCAGAAGATGAAATAAAAGTGTTGTGCTACATAACTGCTTGCTACTGAACCAAACAGCCTTATGTTACAGTTGAAATGGAAAAGATTTACAGCCTGTCACAGCAGCAGATGTCAAATTAATCTCTGCTCAGCTTGTTCTTGTTAACTGTGGATGGTGGTCAGGTCTGGTAGAAATTACAGGAGTTTCTAAACTGGTGAGTTTACAGCTCTGGGCCTCTGAGGATAAACAATCTTTAAAACTTGCATTATGTATAACATTTGATGTGAGCCCCGAGGTCGAACAGTGACACAGGATTTGATGTTTTGACTCAGTTTTGTTATCATTTTGTAGGTTGAAAGATATAGTGACTTTATGAGGTAAATAGTACCAACAGTTGTCGTTTGGGGAAAATCCCAACAGTCTCCGAACAAATTATCATACATTTGTAACATCAGTCATCATTTCAAAACACCAAAGTATTTTAAAAGATAAAAGGATTCCGTATATATCAGTAATGTGTGCTTGCTGTCTTGAACACACACACACACACACACACACACACACACACACACACACACTCACAAACATCCCTTGCATCTCTCTTTTATGATCAGATGTGTTTCCTGGCATTTCTGCAATCCTTTTGAATATCACTGCAACAAACTTTACAAGGCGCTCTTAATTCATCTGAAAGTAAAGAATACATAGTTTACAGATTAAGTTGGCTCAGTATGGAAATAAAGGAAATGGTTTTGACAAACTTCCATCTATCAATAAAACTATCTAACGTCATGTCTTTAACATGAACAGTAAAAGTCAGACTCTGTGTTTGAGATTTAAACAGCAACTCACATCAACATTAAACAATTTCAGGGGCAAAAATAAATCAGAGATGAAGCAGAGCTGCCAATTCTAAGGCAAGAACAGGCTCAGCGGTCCATAATGCAATAGAGCAATAATAGAGTGCAGACCCATCTCAGACACAAACCAGAGCCTGAGTCTCCAACACAGACTTGGTTACCCTTTTGAAGCATAAGACCCCTATTACATATATGCTTTTATTTTCATATGTAATAAAATAAAAAAAACACTGTATTTAAGCTTACATTGCAATATGTTGGTCCACTTTAACACCCGGGCTCTCTTTTACCTGCAGTTACGAACACCTTTATGTATTTTACATGGTGCCTGAATAATTTAGAGCTCAGTAGAGTCTGCAGCAGGATTATTACTGGGAGAAGGTAAAATGCAAACTGACTGCAGCATTTGTGCCTGGATGATAACAAGAAATTGGTGATGTTTCTGGGTTATGTACTCAGAGAAGTCAAAAGCTGGCACTTCATGTTCAACCCTTTTGACAACTTAGAAAGTTGTTTCATGTTTTTTGGTGTTCACTCTTTGTCTGGAAGAAAAGAGAGTTCTTCGTGACTCTGCAGCGTGCCATAAATCCAGACGTTTACCTGTTAGCAGCCTATTCAGTTCCATAAATGCAACAATAAAGTGAACTTCTGCCCTGTTGAGTTTATTTTACAATCTGCTTAATGAGAAAATGTACAGCTTATGGCTCTCTGGGGTTCCTGTTTGTGCAACTGTCAACAGAACAATGCATTCTATACCACCCTACCTATTAGTCAAGATTTGATTTGGTCAGTTTGTTGCTTACTATACAGAAAAATTGATGATGCACACTGAGTGATTATATAGTCAGCTTCCCATAAAGGCGATCAAAACTGGCAGATAAATTAAGGGTTTTGACAAGTAGGAAATGCAAATAAACTCATCAAAATTCAACCCTCCTCCTTCCTTCAGTTTACCCTCCCTGGTGTAGATCCTCTGAGTTTTTGGGAGAAAAGCTCAGCAGTTCTTACCATACGACTGGAGCTGAAGTAAACGTTCGTGCGGGAGATCTATAAACAAACACAACACAAATCGGAAATGTTTTAGGGATTTTATGGTTGACATTATTGGTGCAGAAATATGGCACAGCTTGTGAAGAAGCAGAATATAGCAGGAAAGTGAACAGTGACAGCTGGGTTTAGATGTTTGATGCAAAGTCAAAATGACACAGTGATCTGTGTGCCTGATCATAATTCAAGCCACAGAGACCAAAAGGCATTAGTGTTGTGACTTGGGTGTTAAACAAAGTGTTCAGATGCTCAACTTAAGGCAACTTATGGGTAGTCTGTGTCACTTTTTTTCGCGCCTGTGTCCTCACCTTCCAATGTTTGTTTTTTTTTAACTGACTTTGTTTCCAAAGCTTGTCTCTTTCTGTGATTGAATGCCTGTGTACACAAGGCTGTGTGCATGTGGATTTGATTAGAAAGGAGTAAAAAAAAAAAATCTTGAAACAGAAAATTTGCTACGAGAGCATTTTTATTTTCAAAAGGAATCCTAGTGGAGTCCAGTTTGTTTTCCTCTCTGCACAGACGGGTAGGAGAGGAAAAGCAGTTTTTTGGGGTACAGGGAATAAGAAAGCGGCAGGTAGCTGTACATTTCACAGTTGATTAATGAGTCAGTGGGATGATGTCTCTTATCAACACTCTGCACATGGCAGAGAGAGAAGAAAGGTTTACTGGGGCTAGGAATGCTCCAATCACAGACAGCGCCTGTTGCCGTCCCATCATTCCTTTCTGTGCTCACCCACCTGTTTTTGTGCAGGGGGCTCTCTTCTTCTCTTTCCCGCAGCAGTTTGAAGCTGATGCAATATCAACTCTTTACCCTGTATGAAGTTAGGTGCCAATGAGTTTTGTCTGAGATACATCTGCTACTGCCAGGTTCACAGTGCGTATCATGGTCTTTGTTATAAGATTACCACAAGGAAGTGATGTAAACCCTTGTAATGAGTTGTTAAAGTGGCTTCATGCAAAATAAAAGCATAGCAAGCTGCTGCTGACAGCCCAAGAAGATCCCCAAGTAAA